ATATATACTTACAAATCAGTGAGATTCTTCAAAAGAGAAATTCCAGAAGGAATTGGACCACTAAAACCACTTCCTTGCATCACCCTATCATAGTTAAAAACAATTACCCTAATAAACCAATAAATAAATAGCCTTAAATTGCAAAAGAAGAAAGGTTCATACAGCCTCTCCAAACTTTTCCATTTCTGAATGAAATCAGGTAAAGTTCCAGAAAATTGATTGTCACCAAGTCGACTGCATAATAATAGTTATAAATTAAAGAAATGTTGATTTTTGCAGTGAAACAAAACATAATTAATGCAATTGAGATTGAGAATAATAAAAGTATAATAAAGGAATGACACTTACATGTGTTTTAGTGTAGTGAGTCTAGCAAATGTTGCAGGTAAATTTCCAGTAAAATAGTTGGATGTAAGAAGCCTATATAAACAACATTGAACATTAAATACATTAATAGTACAATGCACTTTCAAAGCTATTTTACACGAAACAAAAGAAACTCATTGAATCTGGAAATGATTTTCTCAAAATAATTATATATTATATAAGCATTGAAGAAGAAAAATCAAAGGCATGTGAAATTTTTTTTACCAATGAACATAAGTACTGGTCTTAAACAGCTAGGATAGACTCTAACACCATATTAAGAAGTAAACTTTAAACCTAACTCAACCTCACAAAATCAGCTTGTAAAATAAGGTATGCACTCACTTATATATTATAAATTGACCTTATCTCTAGTCAATGTGGAACTTCCAACAAATACTGTTTAATTTTGTTGTGGTAAAAATTAATGAACCAAGGAAAATCAACAAATGGCTTACAATCTTTCAAGTTGAGGGAGATTCCCAAGCTCTAGAGGAAGCTCACCAGATAATTGATTGAACTCGACCACCCTATATATGCATTTCAAGTTTAAAGATAATGAGTTGCCAGAAACTTTTATAAATTCAAATGATTAAATTACTGTATGTGTGGATTATCATAAACTTACAAACTTTTCAGTGTTGTGATGTTTCCTAGTTCTTTTGGTATTGGACCTGTTACCCTATTTCCGAGAATGGATCTGCCATAATTAAGAAACAAGCATAACTGGTTAAATGTTTCAGAAATTAGTAGATGAAATTATGTAAAAAAATATAAATAAATAAATAAATATTTTTAAATTCTTAAAGGTAAATGTTCGATTTGATAAAAAGAAGAAATGCTTCACCAAATTTATTATGTGTAAAAGACCGCACATGCGTATTTATACCTATTCACACAGAAAAGGATTCATCTTATGTCACTGTTTATTTAAATAATTACAATACGTCATACGTTTCCATAAAAACTAATAAAAAAATCAGTTTTTTTTTTTAAGTTGCTCGTATTTAAGTCATAAAATTGTTTTCTCTGACACTAAAAAAAATATAAACCAAATTCATTTTTCAACTATCTTCATTTATAATTACCTTTGGAAGTGAACATAAAAACAAGACCCATTTCACCATTTGTCATAATGACACACTGATACAGAGAAGTAACTGAAAAAAACAACATAGGAAATGGAAGAAAGTACATGTTGACGAGGTTGATGGAGCCCCATTGTGGAGGAATTGTACCATTAAGGTAGTTTCTGGTGAGGTCACTGTGCCACATTTGAAGTGAAAATCAAACAAGTAAATGATGATTATGTCAAAGAGATCAATTTTTAGAATTACATACATTTCTTGGAGGTATGGCAATCTCACTAGTTCACTTGGGAGTGTGCCCGAAAGATTTTGTGACTTCAGAACACTGCATCATAGTAATCGTGTATTCATCAAAAAATGAAATATTTGAAATATTTAATGTACATAATTGAAATATGAACTTGTTTATAATATTTAAGAATCTAATTTGTGCATTTAGAATATGAAAAAAATATATTATACCTATTATATTTCATTAGTTGTAATTTTAATTCATTAGTTGCCGCTATTTTTATTTCAATTTAGTTTTCATATTGTTAAGGCTCCGTCAGTTTTGTACACAACCAATAAATATACTCGGCTAATTTTCATTTCATTGAAGTTTTCATTCCTTATGTACTCGGCCCAGGTCCATAGTACCATTCAATGCAATTATTTGTGTGTTTCGCGACTGTATCTTCAAAGTGGTATTAGAGCTTTCATGCTCTCTGAATGCCAAGTGAGAAAAGGAAGAGAGAGAGTGAAGCAGTATGAGTGAAACAACGTGTGTTTGAGTGTTTTCAAGAAAAAAAAAAGGTGAGTAAGATGGAAGATCAAGTGAAAGGTATGTTCCTAGTACAATTGAAGAAGAAAGTCAATTATGATAATTGAAGTATGCTAATGAAAGGTATCTTCACTGAAATCTTCTTCATTTCCATCCACGTCCTTTCTTCTTCTACTACTAACCTCTCACCTCACGTTCTGTTTTTCTTTTTTTATAAATATTTTTTAAATTATATAATCTAAAATATATATTTTATTTTATTCTGGATATACAGATTCAAGAGACATGAATACCGGACAAATTTCCATTAGGTTTTGTATTAGTAAAATTTATTCAAGTTTTGATAAATTCAAATTTGTACCTATTCAGAGTGATTTAGTTCTTGTTATCTACAGTTCGTGTAATAAGCATTATATATATCTCTACATATTAAAAGAAAAACCAAATCATAGAAACGCAAACAAACCAATTACAAAACTCATACAAAAGGAATAAAATAGTGCTTTTAACATACATGATAAAAAAAAATACATGCTTAGACTAAGGAATAATGCTATTGTAATATTAATGCATGACTTTCATGTAATGATATTTGGGGAGACAGTGAGACGAAAGGCTTACATGCTGACAACGTGGCAGATAGTGGCATTGGCAAAAAGGCAATTGCAAGTGACAGCATTTTGAATAGACGAAGTCCAATTTCTCTGTCCAGTGCATGGATCTACGTTGAAATCCCAATCCTTCTTCCCAAGTCTCTTACCTATCTCTTTCATTACTTCCACTGTGTATCAAAGCCAAACAAGAAATTAGTTTTAACTTTATAAACATAAATTCTCTATAAAACTTTCTACTAGAGAAAAATATGAAAAACAAAATTAAAGATGACATCTTTATATAGTTAAAAAATTAGGTTGGATACTAAAAAGAAAATCCAAACAATTTTTATAAATTAATTTTAATTTGTAATGAAGTCAATTTCATTTTTTTTTCTTTTCATTTTCTTTAAAAGTTTTTTCCAAAATATATTCCTATATAATGAATGAGTTGTGTACCTTCATCTTGAGGCAGAGTAGCTCCCCAAGCCGAAGAAGAGATCAAACAAAAGGCAAGAAACCAAAGAAAAAAAAGTAGATAAAAACTCATGTTGATGATGATGGCAGGAAAGCTCTAGTTTGAAAGCTCAAAGAAGAGCTTATGAAATGAAGCAGCTAGATATTCCCACAGAAAAAGAAAACTTTAAGGATTATATATAGAGTTAACAGTGTTGAAAATAATATATTCCCACAGAAAGAGAAAAATTCGGCCCCAGCTTACTACTAGGTTTATGACTGAAAGACTTTATTTGCCAACTTGTGTCTAAACAAGAGAAAATACAAAGTGTTGAATAGAAAAGTTGAAGGTTGCTTTGAAACTCTGGCTAAGTTGTTACTACTTGAATTAAATATATGAATGTTGATGAAGTATGAAGGAGGCTTCACGTGCATACCTTGAAATGTGCGTCAAGTCAGAATTTTGTTTCAATTTATGATAATTTTTTCAGCAAGTTGCTAGTTATGATAATTTGATACCAGTTACGGTGTTTCTAGTTATAAAAGTCTTGTTTGTTGGTTAACAAAGTCAATGAAGTGAGAAATAAAACAAATGAAATAAAAAAAGAAGGTTAATGATAGAATTTATTATATATTCACTACAAGTTACAACGATGTTTCTCACGAAACTGGCTTCTTTTTCTATAGCAATATAAGATTGATTTTGTAGTGTTTCGTCATTTTTTTTTTATTTGGCTGGGTAAAGCTTAGTGGTGAACTTTAACTCGTGATCATGGATTAATTTAATAAGTTTGGTGTGGTAAAATTATGGCTTGAAACCGACCAGCATGATTATAGAAAAAATGACAAAAGAAATTAAATAGTCTTTTATAAACTTTCTTTTTGTACATTTGATTCTTTTATAAAAAAAATAATAATTTACTGTTCTGTATAGGTTCGAGATCTACAAAATATTTCTTCAAACTTTTTTTCGGAGTCAATTTAGATTATTCTGAATACTCTTAATTAAAAGGTACCCTTAAGTTAGAAAAATCATTAATTTACAATAAATATAAGGGTCTTACTCCTTCCACCACCACCACCATCACCATTTCTCCCTCCATCTCTCTTACCTTCTTTAAAAAAATTTTAATTACAAAAATAACTTTTTTTTAATTACAAAAATAACTTTTATTTTATTTTTAATCATATTTATTTACTTTGAATTCAAACTCTATTTTTTTATCCACTCACTTTTCACTTAGTCCCACCACCAACTCTCCTTCTCTTTCTTTTAGATTCCCACCCCCAACTCCACCACATCCATCTTCTCAAAAATAATAGATCAAAACATATAAATTACATTATTAAAATATCTTTAAAATTAATATAAAAAATAAACTAATAAAAATAATTGAAAAATAAACGTATAATCTTTAAACTGATGTGACATCCGTCAACCGATGTTTTAACATCTGTTTAAGGCAAAACGGATATCGACATTCGTTTTCCAATTATTTTAAAACAATATTGTAATAATAGAAAATTTTAAAAAATTAATACAATTTACAACATCAACTAATCCACACTTTGATAAGCAAAAGTTACGTGGATCGAACTGTCACACTAAAGAAATAGAAGACTTTTGGGAATGATTTGAGCATTAGTCTCTTTTGTATTCACAAAAGATGACAGTGTTTTTCATAATAAACATTGTTTTTATATTTAATAGTCTCATGTTGAACTCAAAATTTAAACTAGTCTGAGTACTCCTTTCACTTTGAAACATTTTTTATGGACAAAACTTTAATGGAACACTACAAAAAAGTGTTAATTAATGGATGTTATTTTTTTTTTCAATTTGCAGAAGTTTTATCTTCTGTAAATCGATTTTCGATATTTTTTAAACCCGTACGGTTAGAGTCGGTACAATCGATTTGTAAAAGTTTTTTACAATTCTTGGTATCAAAGTTATATTGTAAAAGTTTTTTTTTTGAGGATGTTAACCTCTTCTGTTAACAATTATTATTTTGTGAAGGTTTGAAATCGTTTATAATAGTTCATTTACATACATAATTTTTTAATTTAATAAAGTCTATTTTTTATAATAAAAAATAAATAAAATATAAAATTGTAAAGTACACAAAATCAATCAAAATTAACTTTATTTATAATTTTAAATTAAAATATATTTATTGACAATTATAATATAAATTCAAAAATACATAATTTAAGAAACATTAATATTGAAGTCTTGTATTTTAGAAAGAATTAATAGAAGGTGACACAAACTTATTGCAATATCTCATAATGCTCTCAGCTTAATACTCTTTCAAAGACCGGAAAAAATCATTGATATCACAAGAAACGACCAAAATTCATATTTCATGCATTTTTTGTTCATAATTTGCAGCACCCGTTATTGACTTCATTCTTAATCATAACTAATTTATCATATAAAAATTCTCATAATGTTCAGTATTTATTATCATATAAAAATTTCTCATGCTTATTATACCATTCATTGCTAGAACAAAAGGAGAAAAAAAAGATAGAAAATTTTTTCTTGAAAAAGTACCATTAATATAAACTAAAAACAAAATATCAACTTATTCAAAACAAAAATAATTATATAAGTGTTGTCGTCATCATCAAGCTTTGCAAGACCAAAATCAGATATCTTAGGATTTAGATCTTTGTCTAACAACACATTAGTAGCCTTTATGTCTCTGTGAACAACTTTTAATCTTGATTCTTCATGTAGAAAAGCCAAACCCACTTGCAAATTTAAATGCTTTAACTCTGTCAATAAAATAGAACTAAAGTTAGATACTTCATACATATTAAAAAAATATTGTGTTTTATTGGAATAAAATCTTTTATCCATTAAAAAAAATTATCCTACTAAATGAAAATAAATATTGCTTTTAGTGAATATGTTGTGTAAAATTGTTACGTTATCAGATAATTGAAAATCATATTTACTATGACTTTTAAAATAATTATCATCAAAATGAGAAAATTTATCATTGATAGAACATTATAAAAACGTTTTATATTGTTGTGCATATCCTATTTTCTTGTAAAATTTATTTGAAATCTAGGAGAAAAGAACAAAACAGCCACTTACATTTAACCATTTTATAGTTTGTCACTTTATTCTAGATAATTACCTTTTGCTAATGAATTTTTTTTCCTAATATGAAGTCTCCAAGCAAGTACAACAAGAATGACAAATATTATTGCAGAAACTGCTATCGCAATTGCAACCCCTACAGTCATGCCACCTGAATCTGTTAATGATAATTAGAAAAGAAGTTCGGATGAATTGCAAATGATACAGTTTTATGGTAGATATTTGTCTTTGCAATTTGAGAAAGTAGTTTCATTGTATCTTCGGCAATGAAAAGCAAAGTCAAGAAAATGACTTTGGAATATTAGTAGCTAGGAGTAATCGAAGAAGACCACGTAAGATGAAGCTACTGTTGTAGTCATCTATATATAGAGTGAGAATATAAAATAAAAAGGAAATATACAAAAAGTAGAATTGAACTTTGGGCTATTTAGTCGAAGAAAAATATATGAAATTATTGACTACATATACAAAGAAGAACTTTGGAAAAGGTCCATAAAAATGATAAAAGGGGTTATTTAAACCCTAAGAAATATTTGAATCTAATTGACATTCATAAAAATAAACAAAAAATTATAAATTAAAACTATTTTTTTACATAAATTAAGTTTTTTTAAAAGTATACATATTTATTTTTGAAGTGTTTGTTAAGAAAAATATCCAAACTGGTTCATAAAATGTCAAAGTCTACCATGTCGGCTAATTGTATTTGATTAGAATGGAAACGGAGAAAGTAAAACGATAACGAAGACTTTTCCAATAGCAAGAAATTACACTGAAGTTGGTTTGAGAGTTATGAACAATTATAGAATCAACCTTTAAACGAGCTTGGTGAAGAACTTACGTTTTTCAAGGATCACTTTAAGATTCTCACTGTAGACATCTTTTAACGTGTGATCGAAATCTTATATGTTAATGGTTGTGATGAGATAAATATCTACGTATTTTTAATGATGTTAAATAACTAATTATTTAAATTAAAAATATGAAAATAAAAAATAAGCGAGAAGAATAACTTAAATAGATATTAAATAGTTATAATATTAGTGAAATTAAGCTATGTGTTATGTGTTGCTTGTATGTATGGCAGTAGAGATATGGTTTGAACCTAGCTTTGACCAAAAAGTGGATTTTTATTTTTTNACTTTCATGTAATGATATTTGGGGAGACAGTGAGACGAAAGGCTTACATGCTGACGACGTGGCAGATAGTGGCATTGGCAAAAAGGCAATTGCAAGTGACAGCATTTTGAATAGACGAAGTCCAATTTCTCTGTCCAGTGCATGGATCTACGTTGAAATCCCAATCCTTCTTCCCAAGTCTCTTACCTATCTCTTTCATTACTTCCACTGTGTATCAAAACCACACACCAAATTACTGTTAACTTTGTAAACACAACTTTCCTATAAGAATTTCTACTAGATAAAAATATGAAAAGCAAAATTAAACATGACTTATTTATATAGTTAAAATTAGGTTATATACTACAAAAACAAAATTCCAAACAATTTTTATAACTTAATTTTGTAATGAAGACAATTTCATTTTTTTTTCTTTTCATTTTCTTTTAAAGTTTTATCCAAAATATATTTCTATATAATGAATGAGTTGTGTACCTTCATCTTGAGGCAGAGTAGCTCCCCAAGCCGAAGAAGAGATGAAAGAAAAGGCAAGAAACCAAAGATGAAAAAGTAGATAGAAACTCATGTTGATGATGATGGCAGGAAAGCCCTAGTTTGAAAGCTCAAAGAAGAGCTTATGAAATGAAGCAGCTAGATATAGAAACTTTAAGGATTATATATAAAGTTGACAGTGTTGAAAATAATATATTCCCACAGAAAGAGAAAAATTCGGCCCCAGCTTTGCTGCCAGGTTTATGACTGAAAGACTTTATTTGCCAACTTGTGTCTAAACAAGAGAAAATACAAAGTGTTGAATAGAAAAGTTGAAGGTTGCTTTGAAACTCTGGCTAAGTTGTTACTACTTGAATTAAATATATGAATGTTGATGAAGTATGAAGGAGGCTTCACGTGCATACCTTGAAATGTGCGTCAAGTCAGAATTTTGTTTCAATTTATGATAATTTTTTCAGCAAGTTGCTAGTTATGATAATTTGATACCCGTTATGGTGTTTCTAGTTATAAAAGTCTTGTTTGTTGGTTAACAAAGTCAATGAAGTGAGAAATAAAACAAATGAAATAAAAAAAGAAGGTTAATGATAGAATTTATTATATATTCACTACAAGTTACAACGATGTTTCTCACGAAACTGGCTTCTTTTTCTATAGCAATATAAGATTGATTTTGTAGTGTTTCGTCATTTTTTTTTTATTTGGCTGGGTAAAGCTTAGTGGTGAACTTTAACTCGTGATCATGGATTAATTTAATAAGTTTGGTGTGGTAAAATTATGGCTTGAAACCGACCAGCATGATTATAGAAAAAATGACAAAAGAAATTAAATAGTCTTTTATAAACTTTCTTTTTGTACATTTGATTCTTTTATAAAAAAAATAATAATTTACTGTTCTGTATAGGTTCGAGATCTACAAAATATTTCTTCAAACTTTTTTTCGGAGTCAATTTAGATTATTCTGAATACTCTTAATTAAAAGGTACCCTTAAGTTAGAAAAATCATTAATTTACAATAAATATAAGGGTCTTACTCCTTCCACCACCACCACCATCACCATTTCTCCCTCCATCTCTCTTACCTTCTTTAAAAAAATTTTAATTACAAAAATAACTTTTTTTTAATTACAAAAATAACTTTTATTTTATTTTTAATCATATTTATTTACTTTGAATTCAAACTCTATTTTTTTATCCACTCACTTTTCACTTAGTCCCACCACCAACTCTCCTTCTCTTTCTTTTAGATTCCCACCCCCAACTCCACCACATCCATCTTCTCAAAAATAATAGATCAAAACATATAAATTACATTATTAAAATATCTTTAAAATTAATATAAAAAATAAACTAATAAAAATAATTGAAAAATAAACGTATAATCTTTAAACTGATGTGACATCCGTCAACCGATGTTTTAACATCTGTTTAAGGCAAAACGGATATCGACATTCGTTTTCCAATTATTTTAAAACAATATTGTAATAATAGAAAATTTTAAAAAATTAATACAATTTACAACATCAACTAATCCACACTTTGATAAGCAAAAGTTACGTGGATCGAACTGTCACACTAAAGAAATAGAAGACTTTTGGGAATGATTTGAGCATTAGTCTCTTTTGTATTCACAAAAGATGACAGTGTTTTTCATAATAAACATTGTTTTTATATTTAATAGTCTCATGTTGAACTCAAAATTTAAACTAGTCTGAGTACTCCTTTCACTTTGAAACATTTTTTATGGACAAAACTTTAATGGAACACTACAAAAAAGTGTTAATTAATGGATGTTATTTTTTTTTTCAATTTGCAGAAGTTTTATCTTCTGTAAATCGATTTTCGATATTTTTTAAACCCGTACGGTTAGAGTCGGTACAATCGATTTGTAAAAGTTTTTTACAATTCTTGGTATCAAAGTTATATTGTAAAAGTTTTTTTTTTGAGGATGTTAACCTCTTCTGTTAACAATTATTATTTTGTGAAGGTTTGAAATCGTTTATAATAGTTCATTTACATACATAATTTTTTAATTTAATAAAGTCTATTTTTTATAATAAAAAATAAATAAAATATAAAATTGTAAAGTACACAAAATCAATCAAAATTAACTTTATTTATAATTTTAAATTAAAATATATTTATTGACAATTATAATATAAATTCAAAAATACATAATTTAAGAAACATTAATATTGAAGTCTTGTATTTTAGAAAGAATTAATAGAAGGTGACACAAACTTATTGCAATATCTCATAATGCTCTCAGCTTAATACTCTTTCAAAGACCGGAAAAAATCATTGATATCACAAGAAACGACCAAAATTCATATTTCATGCATTTTTTGTTCATAATTTGCAGCACCCGTTATTGACTTCATTCTTAATCATAACTAATTTATCATATAAAAATTCTCATAATGTTCAGTATTTATTATCATATAAAAATTTCTCATGCTTATTATACCATTCATTGCTAGAACAAAAGGAGAAAAAAAAGATAGAAAATTTTTTCTTGAAAAAGTACCATTAATATAAACTAAAAACAAAATATCAACTTATTCAAAACAAAAATAATTATATAAGTGTTGTCGTCATCATCAAGCTTTGCAAGACCAAAATCAGATATCTTAGGATTTAGATCTTTGTCTAACAACACATTAGTAGCCTTTATGTCTCTGTGAACAACTTTTAATCTTGATTCTTCATGTAGAAAAGCCAAACCCACTTGCAAATTTAAATGCTTTAACTCTGTCAATAAAATAGAACTAAAGTTAGATACTTCATACATATTAAAAAAATATTGTGTTTTATTGGAATAAAATCTTTTATCCATTAAAAAAAATTATCCTACTAAATGAAAATAAATATTGCTTTTAGTGAATATGTTGTGTAAAATTGTTACGTTATCAGATAATTGAAAATCATATTTACTATGACTTTTAAAATAATTATCATCAAAATGAGAAAATTTATCATTGATAGAACATTATAAAAACGTTTTATATTGTTGTGCATATCCTATTTTCTTGTAAAATTTATTTGAAATCTAGGAGAAAAGAACAAAACAGCCACTTACATTTAACCATTTTATAGTTTGTCACTTTATTCTAGATAATTACCTTTTGCTAATGAATTTTTTTTCCTAATATGAAGTCTCCAAGCAAGTACAACAAGAATGACAAATATTATTGCAGAAAATGCTATCGCAATTGCAACCCCTACAGTCATGCCACCTGAATCTGTTAATGATAATTAGAAAAGAAGTTCGGATGAATTGCAAATGATACAGTTTTATGGTAGATATTTGTCTTTGCAATTTGAGAAAGTAGTTTCATTGTATCTTCGGCAATGAAAAGCAAAGTCAAGAAAATGACTTTGGAATATTAGTAGCTAGGAGTAATAGAAGAAGACCACGTAAGATGAAGCTACTGTTGTAGTCATCTATATATAGAGTGAGAATATAAAATAAAAAGGAAATATACAAAAAGTAGAATTGAACTTTGGGCTATTTAGTCGAAGAAAAATATATGAAATTATTGACTACATATACAAAGAAGAACTTTGGAAAAGGTCCATAAAAATGATAAAAGGGGTTATTTAAACCCTAAGAAATATTTGAATCTAATTGACATTCATAAAAATAAACAAAAAATTATAAATTAAAACTATTTTTTTACATAAATTAAGTTTTTTTAAAAGTATACATATTTATTTTTGAAGTGTTTGTTAAGAAAAATATCCAAACTGGTTCATAAAATGTCAAAGTCTACCATGTCGGCTAATTGTATTTGATTAGAATGGAAACGGAGAAAGTAAAACGATAACGAAGACTTTTCCAATAGCAAGAAATTACACTGAAGTTGGTTTGAGAGTTATGAACAATTATAGAATCAACCTTTAAACGAGCTTGGTGAAGAACTTACGTTTTTCAAGGATCACTTTAAGATTCTCACTGTAGACATCTTTTAACGTGTGATCGAAATCTTATATGTTAATGGTTGTGATGAGATAAATATCTACGTATTTTTAATGATGTTAAATAACTAATTATTTAAATTAAAAATATGAAAATAAAAAATAAGCGAGAAGAATAACTTAAATAGATATTAAATAGTTATAATATTAGTGAAATTAAGCTATGTGTTATGTGTTGCTTGTATGTATGGCAGTAGAGATATGGTTTGAACCTAGCTTTGACCAAAAAGTGGATTTTTATTTTTTCGCTGTATTGTATTTTATTTTATTTTATTTTATTTTATTTTTTTCTCTAATTTTTTGGGTTGGGCCGAAAAACCTAAAGCCCAAACAAAAGGCTCAAAAGAAATTTTAAACTACTTAACTTATTATACAATATCCAAAAAAAAACTTATACTATTAAACTCATAATATAAGATCCAAAATAAACATATTCTTGATGAGATGATAAGATTTGAGTCTTCCTTCCAAAGATAACTTTAACTCTTTTTTATCTACTTGGCTATAACGGGGAATATATACCATCATAAGTGGACAAAAAAATTACAACAAAGAAAATATTAGAGGAAGAGATGAACAAAAAATATACATAATAAAAATGAATCAAAGAGAATATTAGAAGAATTCTATTATTAATACATATTACATCGATTACTTTAAATTTGATTTAAATCAAAAAGTCTAAAAGGCTCTATTATTCTATTACATTGATTATTTTAAATTTAATTTATTACATTGAATATTGAATGAATAGATATAATATGATATTAGTTTATCAATGTAATATGTGTTATCAGTTCATTTAACAACTAACAAAATAGGTTACATAAAATTTTAAAATAATTTGTTTAGTATGACACTCCATCTTATACTTTTTTTTTTATATAGAAAAGCCAATATAATATAGATTATCTAAAATAATTTGGTACAAAAAGTACTTTAGATATAAACTCAATTCAATTCAGGAATTGAATAATATAATTAAATACAGATGATTTTTCATTTGTGAATCCAATCAAAATCGGATCGAGTAACGGAATTATAAAAATCAAAACCAATGATAATAAACTAATTCAACGTAATACATACATACATAATATATATATATATATATATATATATATATATATATATCATAGTTATGGTTTAGAAAATAGTGTGAAAGAAAAAAAAAACATCCTCCTAATTTCTTTTCTCCCAATAAGAAGAATCAATATGAAAGAGGATATAAATCTGCAGCTGATGAAGACGAAGCAGTCCATGGCCCATCTTTTGATGAACTATTTCCATGGGTTTCACTGCTATCAGTTTCTTCCATTTGAGAGTAATATTGTCTTATAACCTCTTGCTTCTTTTCATCCATTATTTCAGATGAATCTAAAATAAATTCTGGTATCACAGCTTTTCCTTCAAGCATGCTAAGTACTGATGACATGGTAGGTCTAAGGTTTGCAGTGGCATTTGTGCACAGAAGACCCACTTTTATCATCATCATAACCTCTTTTTCATTGAAATTTGATCCTAACCTTCCATCAATAAGCTCCATCAGATTCCCTTTCTCTTTCAACAAACGTGCCTGTCAAACAAAATCCAACATATCAAGCATGTGAAAATACAATAAAAGGAGAAAATTGAAATACAAAAAAGTTATTAAGGACACAAGTTGAATGTAACACAACATGTAAAATTATCATATCTAAAAGTTGAATTACATGCCAAGTAACACAACATAAATATAGTGTGCAAGGAATAATTTGATTGACACAAACAACTGTAGAAAATAGAAGTTACCCAATCTAAAAGATGCAATGCTTCTTGCTTGGGTCGAGGGATGGTATTATTCTTTCCAGTTACAATTTCCAAGGCAACCACTCCAAAACTATAGACATCTGCTTTATCAGTTAAATAACCATGCATAGCATATTCTGGTGCCATATATCCACTGCATAATTCAAATCCATATTCATATCAAATTTCTTAAATCAAATCATGTTTAAATTTTGTTATCTGAACTATCATAACAATTGTTGTTTGTTTTTTTTAAAAAAAAAAAATCATAAAAAATAACATTTTTAGAAACTGCAATCGACTTACTAAGTCCCAGCTATTCTTGTGCTTATGTGGGTATTATCCTCATCATCAAGCTTTGCAAGACCAAAATCAGATATCTTAGGGTTTAGATCTTTGTCTAACAACACATTAGTAGCCTTTATGTCTCTGTGAACAACTTTTAATCTTGATTCTTCATGTAGGAAAGCCAAACCTCTAGCTATACCAACACAAATCTTGTACCTGGTTGCCCAATCCAATCGCATACAACATTCTTCATTTCCTTCATACATCAATACCATTTAGTCATTTAAATATTAAAACTAAGTTACAGTAAATTAAGGAACCATATTTGATGATTATGAAAACAAATACTTACTAAATAAAGCATGTGCAAGGCTATTATTTTCCATATATTCGTATATTAGCAACAACTGATCTTCCTCAACACAACAACCGTAAAGTTTAACAAGACAAGGGTGTTGCAAAGCTGAAATCAACCCTATCTCATTTATAAACTCACGGTTCCCTTGCTTAGACTTTGATGAAAGCATCTTAACTGCTATTCTTGTGCCATCTGATAAAGTACCCTGCAATTACGAAATAGTTCAAAAATTTTGTAAGTTTTCTGTATTATGTAATATATTATTTATAAAATTGCAATAGATCAATCAGAGTAGTTATGAGAAGTTATGTAATATATTGAAGGGTACCTTGTAGACAGGACCAAAGCCTCCTTCCCCGATTTTATTAGAAATATCAAAGTTATTCGTTGCAACTTTGATTTTACGCATAGGAAATAATCCCATTTGCAAATTCAAATGCTTTAACTCTATAATAGAATAGAAATAAAATTAGATACCTTATACATCTCGAAAAAATGCTTTGTTTTATCAATATGTTGATAAAGATAAGTGTTATTTTTAGAGTTTGGTTGCCATACATTGTTATCAAATTATAAATCACTAATACTATAATTATTAAGGCAATGATTATAAAACTCATCACAAGTGTCACACATAAGAGGTTGAGATTGAAAGATAAAAAAAAAAACTATTTTATGCTATTAGTGTACAACTTTTTTTCTCTTATTTTAATCTCCAAAAATCATACCAAACTGGAATATTCGATGCAATTTTTTTAAAACAAATCACAACAAATTGTATTTAGTGAATATGCTGTATAAAATGTTTACATTTTAACCTAATTACGAATGATTTTTACTATAAAAATAGTTATCATTAAAAGAAGAGCTTACACTCAGTAGTTTATGATTTAAGATCATTATAAAAACAGTTTATACTGTTGTGCATATACTATTTTGGTGTAAAGATTTTAATGGAAATGAAATGTCAAAATCTATTTGAAATCTGAGATAAGAACAAAACTAACACATATTTCACCATTTATAGTTTGTAACTTTATTATAGATAATTACCTTTTGCTAATGAATTTCTTTTGCCAATATGAAGTCTCCAGGCAAGTACAACCAGTATGACTAATATTATTGCAGAAACTGCTATCCCAATTGCAACCCCTATAGCCATGCCACCTGAATCTGTTCTGGAACTGTTTACTAATAATTGCAGAAGAGCAATAGGTGTCATTTGATAGCTTAAATGGAAAATTGGAAGAAAAAAGTGACAGAGACAAAGTGGGTTACCACGAGTGACAGATATAGCTGATATAAGAGGCCCATATACTGATCTATATGGGATAGCAGTTGTTCCTTTTCCAGCCCAATAAAATCGAATCTCTAAAGAGTTATTACTAACAGTAGTTGAAATTCTTTTTGTGATGTTCTTCCCAACTCCTCCTGCTTCATTTGCAATATTGAAATCCTTCAATTCTAGCTTTCCCTGCAATAGTTTCATGAAAAACCTTAATGGATTTTGACTTCTGTAGTTCTTAATATACAGAGTCTGAACGTTGAATAATTCTACAAGTGAAGGCAAATGCACTAGAAATACTGCTATAGTACCTGAATGTAAACATCAAATATACGTCTTCCAAGACTGCTATATGTGTTATCATCAGTGAACATGATCTCTGCAAAATGCAGTGATACTGTGTACTCTCCATTTTCCAGACACATTCCGTAATAAGTCAAGGAAATGGGAGATACACGTGCTGTCTGATACAATGCGGAATCAGTCATAGAAAGCGTCTTTTGACTTTGCTGAATATAGTCTTCTTTATTATTACCACCCAAGAAATGACCGGTATTGCTAAATGCCCAGTTTTCTTTGAGCTTTATAGATGTTGCTGCCCCTGATCTTGCTGCCCCTGATGAATCCACGTCATCATCATATAGTATACCCTCACTGCTTGTCTCTTGTCCACCACCACAATTTATATGGAAATAGTCAAAGGCTGTTACAAGACAGACTTAGAAGAATATTTGAAAAAATGGTGTACTGAAACTTAGTATAATATTGTTTAACAGTAAGAAAGCTTGAAGAAAATACTGAAACTTACATCTTGTACAGTTTGCTGTTGTCAGACAAGTAACAGGTCCACTGTAGGAATATTAAGACCAGACCAAACACAAGTTAGCAAAAACATTGAACCACAACCTTAAGCCACTTCTTAGACTGATTTACGGAAAAAGAAATCAATATTTTTCTAAACCTGGACTGGATTTTAATCCAAACCAACTTTAATGGTGCTGCCTTACTCAGAAAATAGGAGTACATATATATATATATATAACTTACTTTTGGCTCATTGGGAAGCTTGCAAACAAGTTCCTGTGGCATAAAAGACATGATTAACACAATATCTTGATAAATTACAGACAAAAAGGATAAAATATCACAGTTCTTACACTCCTGCAATCTCTTGGCATGCCACGGTGGAGTTTTTATCGGTGAAGTTGTTGTATGAAAGATCTCTATAAATACATGTAAAGTGCAATTCAGAAACTAAGAAAAAACCAATGGGAGGTAAAATAATTAAAGTTGTTGCATAATTAATAAAAGATCTCTATAATAAATATTTTATTTTTGTAATTAAATTAATTTTTTTATAAAATGATTTTAATTAAATAATTTATAATTATAATTATTAAAAATTAAAAAAAATTATATTTCATTATAAATTAATTTTTGTTTACTATAATAAATTTATTTAAACAAATATTTATTATAAAAAAATTATTATAATTAATTTATTATAATGAAATAAAATAAGTTTATGCATAAATTTTCCATAAACAAAAATGCTTGAGATGACTCATAGAAACTATCACAAAATACTTTGCACGGGTGATGGTAGTCGCCAACAAAAATGTGAAAATATGTCTGACACCAAGGTAGTTGAAAAATATAATTCGTACCTTTAGAATATTATTTATTTACAATAAGAAATTCTTAGGTCCTAACTAACATTATCCATGAATTTTACCGATGAATCTTACTTATAAATAAATTATCTATGAATATTATCTACTAATAGGATCAATAGGTAATTTCTTATCCATCGAATTTGTAGGTAATTTAAGTTCGAATGAGAAGAAGAATGCAAATGAATGAAATAAGGAAAATAAATGTAGAAATAAGATATGTGTGGATGAAAATTTTGAGTGTGGATGAAAGAGACAAATGTGAGTGAAGAGATGAGTATGGATGAAATATGAGTAAGAAATTTATAAATGTGAATAAAAAAAATGAATGTAATAAGACATATATAAAAANTAAAGCATGTGCAAGGCTATTATTTTCCATATATTCGTATATTAGCAACAACTGATCTTCCTCAACACAACAACCGTAAAGTTTAACAAGACAAGGGTGTTGCAAAGCTGAAATCAACCCTATCTCATTTATAAACTCACGGTTCCCTTGCTTAGACTTTGATGAAAGCATCTTAACTGCTATTCTTGTGCCATCTGATAAAGTACCCTGCAATTACGAAATAGTTCAAAAATTTTGTAAGTTTTCTGTATTATGTAATATATTATTTATAAAATTGCAATAGATCAATCAGAGTAGTTATGAGAAGTTATGTAATATATTGAAGGGTACCTTGTAGACAGGACCAAAGCCTCCTTCCCCGATTTTATTAGAAATATCAAAGTTATTCGTTGCAACTTTGATTTTACGCATAGGAAATAATCCCATTTGCAAATTCAAATGCTTTAACTCTATAATAGAATAGAAATAAAATTAGATACCTTATACATCTCGAAAAAATGCTTTGTTTTATCAATATGTTGATAAAGATAAGTGTTATTTTTAGAGTTTGGTTGCCATACATTGTTATCAAATTATAAATCACTAATACTATAATTATTAAGGCAATGATTATAAAACTCATCACAAGTGTCACACATAAGAGGTTGAGATTGAAAGATAAAAAAAAAAACTATTTTATGCTATTAGTGTACAACTTTTTTTCTCTTATTTTAATCTCCAAAAATCATACCAAACTGGAATATTCGATGCAATTTTTTTAAAACAAATCACAACAAATTGTATTTAGTGAATATGCTGTATAAAATGTTTACATTTTAACCTAATTACGAATGATTTTTACTATAAAAATAGTTATCATTAAAAGAAGAGCTTACACTCAGTAGTTTATGATTTAAGATCATTATAAAAACAGTTTATACTGTTGTGCATATACTATTTTGGTGTAAAGATTTTAATGGAAATGAAATGTCAAAATCTATTTGAAATCTGAGATAAGAACAAAACTAACACATATTTCACCATTTATAGTTTGTAACTTTATTATAGATAATTACCTTTTGCTAATGAATTTCTTTTGCCAATATGAAGTCTCCAGGCAAGTACAACCAGTATGACTAATATTATTGCAGAAACTGCTATCCCAATTGCAACCCCTATAGCCATGCCACCTGAATCTGTTCTGGAACTGTTTACTAATAATTGCAGAAGAGCAATAGGTGTCATTTGATAGCTTAAATGGAAAATTGGAAGAAAAAAGTGACAGAGACAAAGTGGGTTACCACGAGTGACAGATATAGCTGATATAAGAGGCCCATATACTGATCTATATGGGATAGCAGTTGTTCCTTTTCCAGCCCAATAAAATCGAATCTCTAAAGAGTTATTACTAACAGTAGTTGAAATTCTTTTTGTGATGTTCTTCCCAACTCCTCCTGCTTCATTTGCAATATTGAAATCCTTCAATTCTAGCTTTCCCTGCAATAGTTTCATGAAAAACCTTAATGGATTTTGACTTCTGTAGTTCTTAATATACAGAGTCTGAACGTTGAATAATTCTACAAGTGAAGGCAAATGCACTAGAAATACTGCTATAGTACCTGAATGTAAACATCAAATATACGTCTTCCAAGACTGCTATATGTGTTATCATCAGTGAACATGATCTCTGCAAAATGCAGTGATACTGTGTACTCTCCATTTTCCAGACACATTCCGTAATAAGTCAAGGAAATGGGAGATACACGTGCTGTCTGATACAATGCGGAATCAGTCATAGAAAGCGTCTTTTGACTTTGCTGAATATAGTCTTCTTTATTATTACCACCCAAGAAATGACCGGTATTGCTAAATGCCCAGTTTTCTTTGAGCTTTATAGATGTTGCTGCCCCTGATCTTGCTGCCCCTGATGAATCCACGTCATCATCATATAGTATACCCTCACTGCTTGTCTCTTGTCCACCACCACAATTTATATGGAAATAGTCAAAGGCTGTTACAAGACAGACTTAGAAGAATATTTGAAAAAATGGTGTACTGAAACTTAGTATAATATTGTTTAACAGTAAGAAAGCTTGAAGAAAATACTGAAACTTACATCTTGTACAGTTTGCTGTTGTCAGACAAGTAACAGGTCCACTGTAGGAATATTAAGACCAGACCAAACACAAGTTAGCAAAAACATTGAACCACAACCTTAAGCCACTTCTTAGACTGATTTACGGAAAAAGAAATCAATATTTTTCTAAACCTGGACTGGATTTTAATCCAAACCAACTTTAATGGTGCTGCCTTACTCAGAAAATAGGAGTACATATATATATATATATAACTTACTTTTGGCTCATTGGGAAGCTTGCAAACAAGTTCCTGTGGCATAAAAGACATGATTAACACAATATCTTGATAAATTACAGACAAAAAGGATAAAATATCACAGTTCTTACACTCCTGCAATCTCTTGGCATGCCACGGTGGAGTTTTTATCGGTGAAGTTGTTGTATGAAAGATCTCTATAAATACATGTAAAGTGCAATTCAGAAACTAAGAAAAAACCAATGGGAGGTAAAATAATTAAAGTTGTTGCATAATTAATAAAAGATCTCTATAATAAATATTTTATTTTTGTAATTAAATTAATTTTTTTATAAAATGATTTTAATTAAATAATTTATAATTATAATTATTAAAAATTAAAAAAAATTATATTTCATTATAAATTAATTTTTGTTTACTATAATAAATTTATTTAAACAAATATTTATTATAAAAAAATTATTATAATTAATTTATTATAATGAAATAAAATAAGTTTATGCATAAATTTTCCATAAACAAAAATGCTTGAGATGACTCATAGAAACTATCACAAAATACTTTGCACGGGTGATGGTAGTCGCCAACAAAAATGTGAAAATATGTCTGACACCAAGGTAGTTGAAAAATATAATTCGTACCTTTAGAATATTATTTATTTACAATAAGAAATTCTTAGGTCATAACTAACATTATCCATGAATTTTACCGATGAATCTTACTTATAAATAAATTATCTATGAATATTATCTACTAATAGGATCAATAGGTAATTTCTTATCCATCGAATTTGTAGGTAATTTAAGTTCGAATGAGAAGAAGAATGCAAATGAATGAAATAAGGAAAATAAATGTAGAAATAAGATATGTGTGGATGAAAATTTTGAGTGTGGATGAAAGAGACAAATGTGAGTGAAGAGATGAGTATGGATGAAATATGAGTAAGAAATTTATAAATGTGAATAAAAAAAATGAATGTAATAAGACATATATAAAAAAATTATGATTGAGGAGATTTATTATCTTTAAATTTGAATCTTTACATTAAAATTAATTTGCAGTCCATGTTCTGGAAAATATATATAGTTTTATAATACATAATTTAGTATAACGTTTGTTAAATCCATACTAAATTTTATTTTTTATGATTAGATATGCAAAAGTCAATGTTAACTTAAATAAATAAAATATTAAAAATAAATAAAATTAGTGTTTGTTAAGTAAACATTAATCTTAGTATATATATTTTATATTTAATGTCTGTTTAGCCAATATTTATTTAAATAAATAAAATTAGCATTTAATAAATCGATATTAATATTATTTATTTTTAATATTTTTTCATTTTTTTATTATTGACATTTATTTTGTTAATATGGATTTAAATAAATATATTAAAAGTAAATAACTTTATTTATTTAGAATATTTATTTTATTATTTGTATAGTTAATACCTTCATATATTATATTGAATAAATGTACATATTATAAATAAATAAATTTAATGTTTACAAAACTGGCACACATATTATTTATTTATAATATTCATTAAATTATACTGATTCAAATATTTATTTAATAAAAAAATTATATATTTTTATTTGTTCTTTAAATTATTTTTTGTGTCATTTTACAATCAGCTATACCCTCACTAATAATATTATCAGTAATTTGATCATTCTAATATTCGAGAACTAAATTTATATTTTTTCATATGTATATAAATAAATATTTATATCAATGGGAACAAATGTATTCGCATTTAATCTGTGGTGTTGCGTACGGTTTAGAAGTACCCAAATATTTCATTATATATTTCCATTATTCTTTTTTATATAAAAAAAAAAGTAAGCTAATACACTATATGAGTAACAAAGAATGTTTAAACTGTTTAAATCTATAAAGCATAAAATAGGGTTTGAAATAAAACTCACATAGAATTAACTGCTGCTATCCACGCTGGTAGGGGCCCACTAAGTAGGTTTCCAGTGAAATATCTGAGAAATAATTACAAAAGAAAAGTAAACTCTGTAGTAGAAAAATGCTAAGCTAATAATTTCACCCTCTTTTCTTTTCTTCCTTTTCTTAAAACAAGAATAATATTTTCTTGAAAATTAAGAAATGGTGTTATTAAAATGCTGTTGCAAATGTCCAAACTGAAATTAGCTCCCTAGGTGCCGCTAACACGTATTATTGTAAAAATAATGTAAAATTTTTTAGACAGTATTGTAAAGAAAATAATGTAAAAATTTATTAGATTTAGAAAAGATAAAAGAATAAAAATCATCAGAAAAATATAACCATTACAAAAATATATTTAACAGTATAAAATATAAGTTTTATCCACACCAAACAACAACTAAAATTAACTTACACGTTGCCCACTTTTGATAGGTTTTCAAAAGTCTCTGGAATCTCTCCCCTTAATTTGTTAAAGCTTAGGTCTCTGAAAGAAATATCACTCAAAACAAGTCAAGAAATGATAATAAAATATTGATATATATTTGTTTAGTGAACATTAAGATATTTGACGAATATATTTAATCTGGCTAAAACATAGGTCAACTATTTATGAAGCTAACTTAGCTGAAATTACTTTGATAGACTATTTCAAATAAATAGCTAGGATTTTAGCATATAAATCAATACTAAATTACATTGAAGAGTTCACACTGGAAATAGATTGATTGCATGAATAAACACTCACAAGGTTTGCATATTATGATTGTCAATGTTTGTCATGCTTCCAAGATATGGAGGTAATTCGTCATTAATTTGGCAATTCCTTAGTATCCTACAAAACAATATCAATTTTGTGAATTTTGCAGCAAAAATAGATTAACACTACTGGGGAAAAAAAGAAAGAAAAGAGTAATAAAAGGCAATTAATTAACTCACTAACAGTGTTTTCAACTTTGTCATATTATTAATTTGTGGGAAAGTGGAATCTGATCCATTAATCAAATCAGTAATTCTCCTGCATTCAATATTTTGATGAAAATAAGAAAATGGTTTGACAATATTAAATCATGATTACTTTATGAAACATTGTACTTACAAATCATTTAAGTTTTGCAGAAATGAAATTTCAGAAGGAATTGGCCCACTTAAACCACTGCCTTGAATTTCTCTGTACAATAAATATACAATTCAACAAATATTAATTAAAATATGACAAAAATTACATTTTAATTCAAACATCAAAGTGTTCTTACAATATTTCAAGATTTGTCCATCTTTGAATAAAACTGGGTATCCTTCCAGAGAAGTTATTGTCATTAAGACGGCTGCATGTTAACAATGGAAATTGAAAATGAAATAAAATTCAAAGAAGCTAAAAAAGCAACAAAATTCAAATTAACCAATGGCAATAAAATGAAAAATTACAGCTCTCTCAATGATGTAAGCTTAGCCAAAGTTTCAGGAAGTTCTCCAGTGAAGTTGTTAGAAGTAAGATGCCTGTTGGAATAATATAAATGCATTAATGAATTTGTCAATAACATGGTTTTCGAGATAAATAAAAAACTTGGAAAAGATATTTGGATAACTACTTATTAATTTTTATCAAATATATCTTAACAGTTATATTTATTGTAATTTGTATATTAATTAACCATATAGACTTGTGTAGATTATACATAAAAACTACAAACATAATGAAATTTGTTTTTGGATAATGCATGGCTTACAATCTTTCAAGGTGAGAAAGGTTTCCAAGATCCGATGTAATATTTCCAGTGAATTGATTGAATTCAAGGACCCTATATTCAGTAGTA